CTACGAAGGCGATGGCCCCTCCCGCGGCCGCGGGATGCGCAGGGTGCGCTGGATGCACCCAGTGTTCAGGAATTGCTGTCAGATGCGGGGGGTGGGAGGGATGATGGGGAGGGAACTACCGCCTGCCGACCCACCTGGACGGCGTGGTCGGCAATCATCCTCTTTGAGCTCCCGGGCCGCGCCTGGCGTTTGGAGCCCTGCGCGCCCTGCGCTCACCCTGAGACGCGCTGTGCTGTTTTCGCTCCTGCTTCTGCTGTGTCTCGCGCTCTGTCCCTTGCCCCTTGTGGCCAGGCAGCCGCTCCCTTCCATCCATCTCTTTGCCAGTTCTTCCGAGGCCGGCCCTACAAGCCGCGCCTTGCTAGTCCGCTGGGATCCAGGCTGCCGGAGCAGCTCAGCCGACGGAGATGGGCTGGGCTGGGCTGGGAACGGCGGCCCTGGGGACAGCGGCTGAGTGGGCGTCCAGGGTGCAACCACGTACCTGAAGGTTAAGATTGAGAAACAGGTGGTGACGCCCCCACTTTCTTCCCACATCCCACCAGGAAACAGAACGCAGAATCTCCTGGTATTTTGAGGTGGCGCGCGCATCGCAGCAGCTGTGCCCTGAGCTCTGGGACCTCGGATCACCAGGTCTGACAGGGCCCAGAAGGGATTTCTGACAACGGAGGTAAGCCTTATGGTTCTGCTGACGGGGGAGGGGGAGACCAGAAAGGGAAAGTGACTTATCCAAGATCTCACGGAGTGGCTCTCTAGCTCTCCAGCTTGCAGTCCATAGTGTGGCTGTCTGCATATTCATCCGTAGCCCAGGGAGACACAGGAGCTATTATTTGGGGAGGAGAGGGAAGAGGTCACCCCTCACTCCAGTTTTCCCTGGTGCACATGATAATAACAGGTGAGATGCTTGCGCCCATGGGAGACTGGTCGGTTTCAATTATGCTGTGAGGAGAGCAGAGCGGGAATTCGTGTCATTGTTTGGGGCCTGGGGGGAGGGGAGTAGAACTGGGCCTAGAAATCCTAAGCCTAAGCCGGGGCTCTGCCATGATGCCGCTTTTCCTATGACCACTGCTCAGACAACTCTGAGTTGTGTTACACTGTACAGTGTGGTCTGCAGAATGTGTCGGCCCCATAGAGGGGTCCCACAGAGAGGCCCCAGTTCAGGGGTGGCTCGATGTCCCTTCAGATTTAGTACGGGCTGGAGACCCAGAGGCAGGTTTCACCCCCAGCATGCTGCCTGCTCATCTGCAAAGGGAGCCCTGGGGCCTGTGGATGCCGGCCCCGTGGCACCTGGTGACTTGCATCAGGAGCCCTTTCCCAATGTGGAGCAAAGTCTTTGTATTTCCAGGAAAGCTCTTTTCCCTTCACCAGCTTTGGGATCCAGTTTTGTCTACGCATGCTCCTCCCTACACCCCTCCACTGAGTCAACAAATGCCCTCCACCCACTGAGGGAAGGAGAAGGGATTCTGGAATGAGATGGGTGGGCAGGAGGGAGCTAGATTGTCCTCCGGACTTCCACTCTCTCTCAGAGAAAACTCCTCCCAATTATCAAATTACTGGGGACTTGGGCTGTGGGGGTGGGGTGGGAGCCACACTGCAGCTCCTACCCCTGCCTCCCCAGGTGCTCGGCCTGCCTGGGATTAGAGCTTCAACGAGGAGCTCCCAGACACAGGGGTGGATCCATACACAGGGGTGGCCATCCCACCAGGATGGAGCAGGTAGGTCTTGCCTCTTCAGTCCTCCATCCTGCCCCTCACCTGCTTGGGCCCTCTAGGCTCCCCCTGCTGCTCTCCTCTTTCCTGGGCCTTGTCATCTGTGGTGCGAGGTGGTGGGGAGGGAAGAGAGAGTGAAAGGTGAACGCTGCCACTCCCAGGCGAAGCCTCCCTGTTCTGGAGAGTTACCTGAAGACACGCATCATAGCAAGCCTTCCAGAGAGCATCAGCCAGGGAAGCTCTTCCTTCACCCCATTTTCTAGGAGCCGTCGAAGCCCTTGAGTCTGTTTCCTGCAAGCCCAGGAGCATGGGGCGAGGCCATCCTGGGGTTGATGTGGAGAGGAACACAGGTGCAGGAAAGGGAAGTTTCCACTACAGTTGGGTGGTGAAATTCTGTACCCTGACTGGAAGAGACCCCCCCCCCCCCCCCCCCCACACACACACACATGTCTGCTTGTGCCCCTGCTTGCCTGGCCCTGGCCACTTCCCTCTCAACTAAGCTTCCCTTTCAACTAAGCTGCTGAAGGGGAAGTCCTTCCTGGCAGCGCCCTCTGCTGTCATCCCGAGGGAGTTTCCCTGACCTACCCAGGGCCACAGGTCTGATCCCACAACATCCCATCTCCCCTTTGTGGATGACTCCTGAGGAAAGATCCTGTTTTTGCACCACTGTAGACTGGAAGAGGCCCATGGGAGCTGCTTTCTTTCCAGATAGGCCTGAGGGGAAAGAAGGTTTGGTCCCAGGACCTCTGGGTGGCCCCTGCTGGGGTCAGGGGTGGTGAGGACCTGGTGTGGGGGCAGGCCAGATGGGACGGCAATTTGCTATCTGAGGTGTTGAGCTCCCTATCTTTGGTGGTGTTGAAATCCTTCATGGCAGGTATCAGGTGGAATTTTGTAGTGGCATTTCTTGTATTGGGGAGGGGGACGCCAGGCTTTCAGACACTAATTGCCTAATCCTTAACTTCCTTCTTTTCCATAAAGAAGTTGGGGAGGCAGGAAAGGATGTGGGCCCATAGCTATGCCCTCAGAGGGACCAAGTGCAGACAGGATGGGAGTCTCAGATCAGAAGCAGGGGTGTTCTTCCTGCCCCTTCTGGAAGCTTTCCTCACCTACTGTGTGTGTGTGTGTGTGTGTGTGTGTGAGAGAGAGAGAGAGAGAGAGAGAGAGAGAGAGAGAGAGACTGACTCTGGGGCACCTGCTCCTCAGGGGTGAGGTCCTTGCATTCCCAGCAGAGGGTTCGGCTTTCTGTCTATGCTCAGTCATCTTTTCAGAGTGCCCCAGGCCAAAAGACATACCTGACAGTTTTTTAAAAAAATATATCTTTTTATTGATTTTAGAGAGAGAAAGGGAGAGGGAGATAGAAACATCAATGATGAGAGACAATCATTGATCAGCTGCCTCCTGTACACCCCACCCTGGGGATTGAGCCCGCAACCCAGGCATGTGCCCTGACCAGAAATCAATCTGTGATCTCCTGGTTTGTAGGTCAACAACCACTGAGCAACACTGGCTGGGCCATACCTGACAGTTTTGTTTAGCAAGTCATTAGGTCCAAAAACCATAATAATGAGTAGTTCTTTTTAAAAAAATTACATAAGTTAAAAGAATACTGTTTTTATTTCATTCTCACATAACTGCAGTTACCAATGGGAAGCTGTGCCCGCGCAGTCGGCAAGAAAACCTTATTTTCTGTTCCTTGTGGATTTTCATTGGTACATGTTTTTTTTTGTGTGTGTGTGTGTGTTTTTTTAATCACAGCATCAGCCAGAAAGCCAGCTTCACAGAGATGTGATAACTTCCAAAGGAATATGGCCCATCCCAGCTAAAATACAGCTCCCTAGAGCCAGTAGGTGTATTTCCTGCAGATGACAATATTGCTGTGTCTCCTGTGAGTGTGCAGTGCCCTAGGAATTTGCTGCAATGGCCCAGGGTGCCTTGGCACATATTTTGGAAACCATGGCTCTAACAGAAGTAGCTGGGAGTGGCCCCCAGATGCATGGTCCATTTCAGCTGCTCTGCCTCCCCATCTCTCCCCTGATCTCAGATGCACTTCTTGGAGACCCCTGCTGCACATCTAATCTGGTTGTGTGTTTCTGGATCTTTCCATTGGCCTATATCCTTTTTTCTTAGTTTGTGGGCATATTGTGTTTTAAGAGCCTCTCCTTTCTAGCCCTGGTCAATTTTTTTGGCTCTCCAGAAGGTTTTCCTTATAAAGGCAGGCTGTTGGATCAGATGACTTCTCCAAGCCCTTTGAGACAGTGACAACACATGCTCTGGGTTCTGGGCTCTGCCCAGTGCTGTGGTCCCTGATCTCACTTGGAACCCCAGAAGCATCTGTTTCCAAGTGGGCAGAGGTTCTTCACATCCCCAGAGGGAAGTGAGGCAGGATGGGGTCTCAGTCTCTGTGGATTAGGTGTTTCCCACAATCTGAATACCAGAGGTGGGACTTGAAGTTTATGAGGCCATGAAAAGCCAGGGTCAGGATGTAAGGGTGCAGTGGGGGCATGTGCACTCATCTTTCTGAGCTGCCTGGTGGATAGAGAGTGAGGTCCTTTCCATTCCTGAGAACTAGTCCACCTGTCTCAAGATATCCCACAGCAAATGCCCCTCTTGCAGTCACCATTTCTAACTACCCCTGGGAGCTCCATTTTGATTTTGATAGGATGCTCTGACTAGACCCTGTGGCAATGACTGGACCCTTAGGTCAGCTCCTCCTTGTATGAGAAAGTAGGCTCTGAGCGAGTGGCAGAGACTGAGGAGTTAATGGGTGAGACCACTGCTTCTGGACCCCACCCTCCAGAGACCCTCCACGTTAGCCTGTGCCTCTGGATGTCACGTGGGAGGCTGTCATCCATGGCACCCCCGGAACAAGACTCCTGTGTGCATCCCCAGCGTGCAACCCTAGCTCAAGTGGCTTTCTGTTGCATGATCTCCCATTCCCTGCTCCAGAAGGTGCAGCCATAAGACCTCTGCATCTATGATTCTCAGAGCTATTAGCAGTAGAAGAAAACAGAATTTAAGGATAAAAATTAGCATCATGGAGTTCTGGAATCCTGGACTCTCATCACAGTGGTTAGGACTGTAGATTAGTTTTCTGGAGGCTCAGCTTCCAGGGGGCCTTGCAATCTTGGCTCTGTGGCCTTACTCATCTATAAAATGCAGGTGTTAGCCTTCTGTCTAATGTGCTGTTTTGCTGTGATGGCCAGATGGGGCCATTAGTTTGAGTGGTCACCTGTGGAAGTTCCACTCTTGGGTCAACATTGCTACCTTGTGGAATGAGGCAGCAGAGTGGACAGGACACTGGGGCCACATTGAGGTCCCTAACCTATAGGCAGTGCCCACCTGGGCTCTGCTATGGGTGGAGGGAGCTTCAGTCGCTCCTTAGCTCTTGACCTTCCTGAGGCCTCTCTTCCTGGTAACAGGATGACCACAGTCCCAGAGGGTCTGCTTTACTCGTGTTGGGTAATTCACTTGATCCTGAGATCACTCGAGACACACTGTTACCATCCTCAGGGCATGAATGGGTGCTGAGGACCAGAGGGGTTGAGAGTGAGATTCATGAGGCCAGTGTTCAGAGGGTTAGGCTTAGAGTCTAGGTGGCTCCCTGGCGGTATCCTTCTCACTGCCCTGTCACCCTGGCTAACGGTCTGACTTCTCTCTCCTTTAGTATACCACACCCTAAAGTGTCACCTTTGGAGCCTTCCTCAGTGATGGTGGGAGACACATATGTCTGTTGGTCTCCATCTCCACAGGTTGTGGGAGGCTGGGGTGTTACTTCCCCACATCTCTATGTTGGGCTCTGTGAGCCAGGACAGGTGGAGCCTGATCCTGGGAGGATGTAAGCAGGGTGGGGCAGAGGCCTAAGGCTGTCCAGGTCTCCACTGGCCACTCCCTTCCTCTTTTGCTGCTCTCTGGCACCAAATGTCACTTGATGATGTGTTTTCTCTAAGGTCATCAACCCCTTGGTCGGTGACATGCTTTTCTACCTGCTTACAAGACTTCCCTACCCAGCAACCCCATCTCCCCACATCTCCACAGCCCAATCTGGTGCCCCTCCAGCAACTTCTTTCACTTCCTTCTGTAATTCCAGTATACTCCCTCCTCTCTCATGTCATTGAGGGAGATTGATGTCATCAGCTTCCCCATTATAACCTGCAGTGGAGCCTCCATCTCTCCTGTCTCAGAGGATGAATATTCCATCAGCCGTGCTGGTCCAGAAAGTTTAGCAAAGCATTTGTTTTCATTCTCTCCAGGCTCAGCGACCATCCCTCTCTCTCTTAAATCTTCCATCTGCCCCTAGACCAGCTTCTTCCTCTTAGTCTGGAAGTGAAGTGCTATTTCAAATGGTATTTTTCTTTCAATTTCAAGTTCCATCATTTGCTGTTAGAATGTAAAAATATCATTCATTTTAGTATCTTGATCTTATAGCCTTCCCAAACTCATTTGTTAGTTCTAGTAGTTCCCCACCCCTATAGATTCTATAGGATTTACTACATAGACAATTGTGACAGTTTTGTATCTTTCAATTCTGGATACCTTTCATTTCTTTTTCTTGCTTTATTGCATTGGCTAGAAGCTCCAGGACAAGAGTGGATATCCTTGCTTTGTCCTTGATATTGGGGGACAGGCATGCAGTGTTCCATTTAAGCATGTTACCAGTGGTAGGCTCTCCATATAAGCCCTCTCTCAGGTTGAAGAAATTCCCCTGTATTTCTAGTTTGATGAGAGTTTTTGTCAGAATTTGTAAAGTGATTTTTCTGCATCTATTGAGACAATTATAGTTTTTATTATTTAGTCAGTTAATATATTGAATTATATTAATTGATGATCAAATAGCAAACCAACCCTACATTCTGGGATAAATCCCTCTTGGTTATGATGTACTGTCTTCTTTATATATTGTTGAATTGGATATGATATACTTAGTTAAAACTATTTGTTCACAGGAATATTGGTCTGGTATTTTCTTTTTTAATAATATTTTTGTCTGATTTTGGCATCAGGGTAAT